ATATATATATATAGATATATAGATATATATATATATCTATATAATATATATATATATATATATATATAGAGAGAGAGAGAGAGAGAGAGAGAGAGAGAGAAAGAGGAAAGAGAGAGAGAGGGGGGGGGGGGAGGAAAGTTGAAAGTAAAAAGGACGGGAAACACAGACTCAGTAAAATGTAAACAAGATGATCATGTCAAGACTTCTAGAGTGACGACACCTGTATCCCCGGAAGAAGAAAGGTGAGCTCTGGTTGTCATGGTGATGATACTTTGTCACGTCCTCTCGCAGCATGCTCTGCCGCGCCCTGATGCTGCCGCACACTTTTTCTTTCTCCTTCTCTTTGTGTGTCTCTCTTTCTATCTTTTTCTGTGATTATATCTCTCTCTCCCTACCCTCATCTCTATATACCTGTCCGTCTGTCTCTATCTCTATTTCTCTCTGTTTCGCATCGTTTACAATAAACCTGGATTTGCTTTGAATTTTGTTTCATGCGAGACTCGGGGGGAATGGTTTGTTATAACCCTTTTCAGCGCCACAAATGCGACATATCTTACAACCCCATCAAAGCTTCGGTGGAAAAAAATGAAAAGATATATCAGATAGCAGAAGGAGCCTCATCTATTCCCAAACGTCTCGCGTCATAAGAAAAAGGCTCTTTTTGAAGCGGCCCGCCATCTTTAGGTGCATCAAAGACACCGTTTTCCTTTGTGACGTGGAGATGGGGGGATTGTGTCTCGTTTTCTATAGGGGATTTCCCTTTTATCCGTTTTCTTCGGGGTAGTCTTAATTAGTATTGATTTATTTGTTATATATTTGCCCATTCATTTATTTGGATACTCATGAATATTATGTGTGTATTTGGGTTATGTATTTGCTTATTCATTTACTTACCCCAAAAAACATGCCATGTAGAAAATACTGATGCTTGTTGATTTAGATTTCTTACTAACGATAAAATCTCAGTCTTTTTATAATGAGTATTACGACCGACTCTTAGGATCGATCGTGTGTGTCGGTACCTGCACTGTAATGATCCTCGCGAGTTTACGGGGGAAAATAACAGCTATTTATTTCTCTGTCTAAAGTACTCGTAATTGTTATTGGCAATGAACTTTTGAAAGGAAGTAAAGAGGGAAAATTGAGAGACTCAGACAGAAAATAAACCGACAGAAAAGAGCCATGGGAAGACAAACAACTGTCGTGGTAGCATTAATGCCCAAGCCGAGAGATACGGCGCGTCGTTCGGGAGTCCACTTGGGAGGTAAAGAATGCAGAGCCTTTCCTTTCACTCGACTGTGAGTGAGTTGTCGAGAGGGGGGGAAGGGGAAGGGAAGGGAAAGGAAGAGGAGAAGTAGTGGGTAGAAAAGAAGGGAAGAGGATGGCTAGGATGGGAGAGGGAAGGGAAGAGGAGGGGGAAGGGGAGAAAGGGGACTGAACAGATTGGGTAGGGAAGAACGGAAGGGGGAGATGTAGAAGTGCTCGTCTCTCTTGGCACTTGTTTTTTCGCGATTTATAATTATTTCCTATTGTAATGATAAAATGTACTTCTAGACTATGAAAAAAGGAACGTTGAGATAAAACAGAGAACAGAAGCACGTAAACAAACAAGTGTTTAACCTCCGTCACCCCCGCCGGCTATTGTCGTAGGAGATCATAGCATGCTCTCGAGAACTCTTATTTCCGGAGAGAGAAAGTTTATCATTCCACCTCCACCTCCTTTCCTCGCCTCCCCCGTTTTAGTCCTTTTCGTATTGCGGTTTTGTCTCCGAGATGAAGAGGAATTCATTAAGAAGGCAGGCGGGTATCTCTTAAGCCTGTGTGATCATTGGCGTAAGATTTTAGGATTTGAGCGAACATTTGTGATTTTTTTTTCTCACGATATTTAGAGGTAAGGGATTCATGTATTAGTCTTTTATTGTGTGTGTGTTCGCGTGAGGACATTACTTTGGTCATTTTTCTTGTATATGGTGGGATAAAGAAAATGAAAATAAATTAGAATTGATAAACCGAAAAAGGTTGTTGTATCTACGAAAGGCTTAAAGTGGTTGGCAGCGACGGACCTCCATATATGGTCAGAGTTATGGTAAGGTGGCCGAATATAGCATAAGGAGTGTGACAGTCACATTATCTACGAGCACGAAGGGACACTCAGAGGTGAAAGTTGTTTGGACTGAAAATAAGGTTTCCTCGATCTCATAGTAGTTACCATTATCATCAGTGTTTGCCTAATCATCATCACAAAAATCATCATTATCATATCTTCCTCTCACCAGCGGCGTCCTTCCATTACAGGAACAGAACAGTTCCTCGAGCAGCGAGTCCGAGGATGAGCCAGTGAGCAAGTGCCGCCGCCTGTCCACCTCGTCGTGTGACTCCCCCTGCTCCTCCCCCTGCCCATCCCCCTGCCCCGACGCCCGCCCTCGCCGCGCCCACCGCTGCCACGCCCATCGCTGGTCACACTACGAGTCCAACCTGTCAGAGACAGGTTCATATATCGAGGTAAGGTGTCTAGGGCGCTGACTGTGTGTGTGTGTGTGTGTGTGTGTGTGTGTGTGTGTGTGTGTGTGTGTGTGTGTGTGTGTGTGTGTGTGTGTGTGTGTGTGTGTGTGTGTGTGTGTGTGTTGTGTGTGTGTGTGTGTGTTGTGTCACAACACATACGTAAAGTTTGATAAGATGTGATTAATCGTTATCACCTTTATCACTGTCGTGTTGTCTTTAGATGCAAATCAGACAACACGTCACATCTAGTGTTTGTTTGGTGTGAATGGGTGTGCTGAGTATTTGATGACGGTAAGATACACAAAAAAATGTTTTCATTTACGTAAGGATTTTTTTCACTAGTGGCTAAGGTATTTTTCATGAATCACTTAATATTTTGGGTTCTGTTTTTTTTTCTCTTTTATTTTTCTTTTCCTTTTGTTTTGCGCATTTCTTTGTTCCTTCGTTTCCAGATTTTTTTTTTTTTTTCGTTTCCAGATTTTTTTTTTTTTTCATTTTTCGATTTTTCTCGTTTTCACACTTTTATTTCCTGGTGTAATTTCTTATTATTTTCAGTATGGTTAAGGTGGTAATTATTAGTATTTTCTTTAGTCTGTTTTCATATCTTTTCGCCGGTGTCATTACCTATTTTCCTTCTATTCATCCGTGATTTTAGTCTTTTTTTGTCATTATTTCTCGACTTTTAGCTTTATTGTCCTCAGTTTCTCTTTCTCCTATTTTCTCGTTCATTTCTGTTTCGATTTTATTTCCGTCGTTCCTTTCTTCGTCACTAGCCTTTTTCTTCGCCTTTTTCACCATCATATGGGGAACAACGCACCATAAGACACCATGCAGTGCACACTATAAAGCATCACCTCTCCTAATAGCTGATCATCCCCGCACCATTAGCAGCATATCGTGTTGCAACAGCAGGCTTCGTGTTGCAAGCACAAGCGGAGTTATTTCCTGCTGGTTTTTTTCCATGGCGTTTTTTTTTCTCCTCCCTCACGTTTGCTGATTTTTTTTTCTTTTCTTTTTCTCTTCACATCACCTCTCTCTCTCTCTCTTCTTCACATCACCTCATTTTGTTTGATTTGTCTCCCTTTATTTCATCTCTTCCCTCGTCCCTCACAGGCCTCCCCGACCTCCTCATGCTGCCCACACGCACATGAGACCAAGGTAAAAAGAAAAAAAAGAAATGAGACAAGAATGAAATTCGTTTGAGGAATGCTATCCCTAACCCCCCTCTACGCTCCTCCTCCTCCCCTTTCATTCCTACTCCGCTAACTCACCGTCCCACTCCTCTTCTTCTGTCCCATCCCACTCCTCCTCCTCCTCCTTCCTCCTCCTCCTCCTCCTCCTCCTCCTCCTCCTCCTCCTCCTCCTCCTCTTCCTCCTCCTCCTCCTCCTCCTCCTCTTCCTCCTCCTCCTCCCCCTCCTCCTCCCCCTCCCCCTTCATTTCCTCCATCTCCCTCCCTCCCTCCCTCCCTCAATCCCTCCCTCCCCCCTCCCTCCCTCCTCCCTCCCTCCTCCCTCCCTCCCTCCCTCCCTCCCTCCCTCCCTCCCTCCCTCCCTCCCTCCCTCCCTCCCTCCCTCCCTCCCTCCTCAGACCTTCCTTCCCACTTCTCCCATTCCCCTTCCTGCATGACCGCATTACGACCTTTGCATGATTTCCTCTCTCGGACTCTCTTGTTTGTGAGCTTGTCTGCATGACCAGCTTCTCTTTTTCTCATGCATCTTTTAATCTTCTAGTCGGAATTCGGGATCTGCACGCAGAAAAAGCTCTTTATTCTACATGTTCATCGCAATGTTTAATTCAAAGTTATTTGATTATTGTTTATGATGTCATTAATATTGTTAATTTATCATTAACGTACATTTAAGGTTTTTATGTTAAAAGGAATGCCTATTAATTGTAAACACTACGATTTGTCAGCATATGTCTGTGAACGTGTGTGTGTGTGTGTATGTGTGTGTGCTTTTCCATCTGTGTGCGGCATGGTAACATACCTCGTAACACGTTGCGACAGCGTAAGTAACCTATTACCTCAACCGCTGTGGCGATAAGAGATAATGATTATCGTTTTAATTCTTGTTCTACGTCCGTTGCCTAACCTCAATGTGTATTTGCGTGATTGTTTGCAAGTGGTGGTGTATAAATTTGTATGTTAAGCATGTGGATAAATATGTTTTTTATATTAATTGGTGTTTTCGTTTTGGTGTACTCGACCCGCTCTTATTGTTCAGTTAAGTGATCTTGCAGCGTTACTACATTGTTCTTCATAAAGTATTTGACAGGTCTTTTAAAGGAGCCGTGCATAGGTTGTGATCCTAATTCAGAAGAAAAAAAAATCTTCATTTTCTGCATGAGTTGATATTCGTTATTTGCAATACATTAGATCTGATAACTTTAGTATGTACATAGGTTTGCAACCATAATTAGTTCAGGTGATATACCAGCCTTGTTAAAAGCAGTTCAGTGTGACAGCATGGTCCTTAGCTAGAAATATTAGTAAAGACACAGCCTTATCGTAGGTTAGATTTCTCTTTGAATATTTAATGTCCATATACTGAATGTTCACTTGACCGCAAGAATGGTGATATCTGCTTCCTTGTCCTTTTAACTTTTTAAATACCGCTGTACTTCTATTAACGCTTCCCTTACCGTCCTCCAGGATGACTATGTGTGCATAAGCGGGGGTAGTGAGTGCGGTGTGGCCCCCCCGCCCACCCCCTCTACACAGCCCCCTCTGGAGCCAATGGTAGTCGACCCCCTTCAGCAGCCCGCTGCCACACCTGCCGCCGCCCCGCAAGACTCCGAGGCCGCGGCCGCCCCCGCTGCCTCCCCCCAGCCCGAGGCGCCTGCCATGGTGGGAAGCGCCGGTCTGGACACAGTTCGCGCCCGCTGCTGTCCCCTCACGCCCTCCGACGACCTCGCCGGCGACGACGCCATGATCCACCAGTCCGACAAGTCCCCAACCATCACCGTCACCACCACAACCACCACGTCCACCACAGACATGACTGACGGCGAGATGGAGAACTTGAACCAAGTGAACGGCAACACCGTGGTGTCGCCCGCCAGCACCGAGGACTCGGGGGTCAACCTGACCTCGTCTTACACGGAGGACACAGCCGCCATAGACGTCAGCGCCAGCGTCAGGGACTCGCCCTCGAAGTCGAGCTGCACCAACATCGAGCGGCCGTCGCCCAACTGCGCCATCTACGACTTCAAGCACCAGGACACCGACACCGAGGAGGCCGCCGCAAACACCGCAACCAGCACTGACACTGCCGCCTGTCAGGCCAACCTCAATCTGGTGGAGTGCGACCCTGCCAGGAACCGAATCTACCAGGTGCGCAGACGGGGCGTCAGAAGCGTCGTCAGGACCTCGGCGCGCACACGACTCGAGTTCAGCTGCGACGAGGAGGTGGACCACGAGGCGCTGCAGAAGATCATCGACTCTGCCATCCTGGACCCCGACTGGCTCAACTCCAACATGCCCAGCGACTCGGAGGCGAGCGCCACGGAAGACGAGGCGCCCCTGCAGGAGCACATGGACACCGGGAGCGACGGCGGCACCCCAGGCCACCCTCACCCCCAGCAGGAGGACCAGGTCGCCGCCCAGAACCAGCCCCTCCACCAGGAGGCCCAGAGGACCATCAGCAAGGAGTCGATCACCCGGCTGGTGAGCGATGCCGAACGGCTGGTTCGCGAACCGCCTGAGGGCGACCAGCCAGCGCCCCTGGTGTCTCCCCGGCCGCACCAGCTGCCGCTCAACATGGGCCCCTGCAAGGGCGCGATGGGCAGCAAGCAGGCCCGCGTGAGGCAGTGGCTGGCGTCGCAGCGCCGCGAGGCCCGCCTCTCCACCACCTGCGTCATGGACTCCTGCGACGCCTCGGGCGAGCTGACCACGGGCGAGAGCGACATCGAGTCGTGCACGTCCGAGGACATGGACGCGTCCACCGCCACCCAGCACGCCGTCTCGACGCGGGGCTCCGTGCGGGGCTCGCAGAAGGGCTCCCTCAGGGGGTCCCGGGACCCGCTGCCGTCCACGGACAACACGCCCACCGCGGAGAAGGCCGCCGCCGCGCCGAGCCCAAGCGACGCTGCCCACCCCAAGGTAAGCCTGGCCGAGCTATTGTTTTTGTGCAGCTTACAGTTATGAAATCATGTATGCTGTTTGTTGCTCTTGAGGCGACGATTTTTTCTCAATTATATTTTCGCAAGCCTTAACCTGTGTAATTTGCCGCAGGTGGTTCTTCGTTCTCGCAAGCGTCGTTCCGGCGAGCAGCGGCCGTGCAGCGTGAGCGAGCTGTACCAGCTGGCCACCCGTCTGGACCTGGCGCCGTTCTCCGTGTCCGAGACCGCCCTTCACAACCTGCTCACTGCCACGCCCGAAACGCCCACCAACGACAACCAGGCCTTGTAAGTACTTCATGCATTTGTTTTGGGACAATAAAGATGTGTGTGTGTGTGTGTGTGTGTGTGTGTGAGTGAGTGAGTGAGTGAATGAGTGAATGAGTGAGTGAATGAGTGAGTGTGTTAGTGTGTTTTATTTATTTATTCATTCATTTATTTATTTCCACGCAAGTCAGAGTGATAAAACTGACGTAAGTGCATTACGTCAGTTTGACGTTGTATTAACGTAATATCTTTAAAAAGAAATGCTATTTTCTGATTTTCTAAGAATCGACAAATTACATCAGGAAATGGTTGCCCAAGCCCCAGATAACGGCAGTAGGTTCATCCTCTGATTGCGGGCCTGGTGAACCTTTTGAACCTAGCCTGCCTACCATTAAGCGTGGCTGAGGGCGTCGGGAGCGGTGATACACTTTCACTCGCCGACCTCGCGCTGGCTTTGCGTAACATATTAGACTTGTAATGTGTCTGAGCTTGTTGTTAGTCTCGTAATTCCCTTTCGAGACTCATTGTTCTGTTTTCTTTTGTATTTTTGTATCGATTTTATGTGTGTGGTTAATGAACGTTTAGAGTAACGTAGGATAACGAAGCTGGAAAGGTATATCATAGAAGTTCGAAATTAACTTTTTATATGGCTAGTTGAGTGTGCTAAAGCGTAAAATAATTGAACATCGAGAGGGATACTGCCGTGTGCGAATGGAGATAAAGTGCTTAGAAATATATATTATCCCTGGCTCATTCATTTTATTTTCCACAAATATGAATTAGGGACAGGTAGATATGAAAATAGATGTAGACAAGAGATAATTACAGGAGAGAGAGATAGAGAGAGAGATAGAGAGAGAGATAGAGAGAGAGATAGAGAGAGAGATAGAGAGAGAGATAGATAGAGATAGAGAGAGATAGAGATAGAGAGAGATAGAGATAGAGAGAGAACGAGAGAGAATGAGAGAAGGAGATATGAGACATCTAACTTTTTGAAATTCTGCGAGTCATACAGCCTCCATCAGCTACAAATGATCCTCTTGCTACGACCCTGCGGGAGGGGCTGCTTGCTATCGGCTGTTGTCTATTAACTTGAAAGTCACGTCATGGATCACCCGATGTTATGGAATTAATGGAATGGGGAATGGCAGGAAAATTATGCGCCTGCTTGTTGTTTGAAAATAATGTATGTTAAGTCTTACCTGAATAAAGTGTATTATTTCAAGTCAGATATTTAATAGCAATACAAATTTTGTAAATTTAAGAAAAACGAAATCACATCAGCAACAGGGCATTCAGTACTCAATCAACAACAAAGACTGATGGTGGCAAACAAATACATGCAAAAGGCCATGTTTGCTCCTGCGTGACTTCCTATCGTAAGCCGCGACAGCCTCCATCAGGTTTCAATTCCATTCAATCAGTTGGCACCTGCAGAGTTGTACATCTGCTGTGCATCTGTTAAGCAATCGCGTACCCGAGCGTGGCCGCAGGTGCTTGTGTGAATAACGCTGTTTTCGAAACCGCCTCACCGTGAGCAGACCCCCCAACGCCTGCCATTTAAATGATGAGATTAAATGTTAATGCTTCAATTGCTGGTGCGTTGTGCGGATAAGGGGATAGTCCGAGAATAAGGTTGAGGTGTTGTTTTGTGTTTGCTAATTTGTTAATGTTTAGTGTTTTGTTTAGTTATTAGCGTCCAAGAGGTGCAGACGTAAAATGATTATGCCCGAACACTTAGGCGACAAAGGATAAATAGAGTTGATTCGCTGTTCTAGTAATATTTGAGTGCCCATTTGCAGTATGATATCCTTACTCAACTCCGGTAAATGTCACTGGATTGTTTAGCATAATTCTCCGCAGAAACATACACATACAGACAAGAAATGTATACAGTAACGTAGGTGGAGAGGCATGCGTGATGTGACGGGAGAACCGGACATCAGTTCAGAAGTCAGAATAGCGTTAAAGAAAACGGGAAATGCTCTTGCCTGTCAACACCGATAACGATAACATTGTTTATGCTCTCCACCTGCAATGGTGCGATTGTCTGTCTGTCAACAAGTCCGGAGAAGGACAAATGTGAGGAAATAGAAGCTTTGTTCTGGGTTACTGGATAGGCAACGCAGACATCTTTAATCGTGGAATAGATTGACGATAAAAGGTCTGGGTTTATTGATACCTGAACAGTCCTATCTGTTCAGAAATCAGTATATAAAAGCCACAATTGAATGTTTCGTATCATACATTTTGACTTAGTGGCTCTCCGGCGTTTCTCAATCCCCAAACAACTCTGCCCTCGGCGCCAGTCACTAATTGCTCGCTTTCCTCCAGGACTGGCTAAATACCTACCTAAGTGGGTTATTCTTGGACAGACAGACCTCACTAGTGGGTGACGTGGGGAGGTGGTAGGGGGGGAGCATAATGGAAGCGGTACCTAGACTGCAGCGGCCCAGAAATCACAAACAGCTTATTTGTTTTATTAAAAGTATCGTCAATTCTCTTGAGGGAAGAGAGGTTCGGTGCGCGTTTACCGTGAAATCGTGACGGGAGGATGATTCAGAGATCCGAGGCGGAAGTGCCTTAACTTGGGGCTCGGTATCTTGTGATCATTATTATATCTGACGATCAGGGTGTTCTTGTCATATTGTTGCGGAAGGAAGTTTTGTCAAGATATAAACTTCCGAGATTTAGATCTGTTCACGTGCTCAAGTTGAGATTCTTGCAAAGTATTGCACAGGGATTGGGAAATAAAGGAGAGAAGTAGGGCAGAGACCGCCAAAGTTCATGGAGATTGTCATGAGCAGTGGTGACGCTCTTCAGCCGTGCTTGAGAACAGTTAGTTTCCCTCTTGTTCCCGCTCCGATCGCAACGGCCGACTCTCGCACCATCGCCGCGGCCTGAAAACTCACGCCATATCTCGCGTGATTGATATTTACTCGCCAAATTAATTAGATAATAAGCGGAATGAGTAAGCCGTTGTAGTGTTGTGGCTGTGGGAGCGTCGGGTGTTGACACGATGGCATCACCTCTGTGTTGATAGCTGGTGTTAACGTGACTCACATACCCCTGACACTCGCACTTAACAAGGCTTTAGTTATCCTTCTATCTCGGCAAGGTCAGGGCGGAGGAGTCCTAGTAGCTTGAAGGAGCGAGAGAGGACGTGTTCTGTCTCGTCTGTATCGAGAAGGGACGCGGCGTGGCATTCCTCAGTTCCGGAGGGAGCGCCGACTGGAGATACGGACTCCCTCTCGCAGTGTCGTTTTGTTTATTGTGTTGATGACAGCCGTGATAGGTCGAGTGGCAGCAGGTCTTCCCCATTCGCGTTTATGAGAAAAAGACGTAGGATTTAGGAAGGAAGTGTCTCGTAGGAGCGGGTCGTCGAACTCGCTACGTGGCTGGCCCTGCTCATCATATGACTGATTGCCTGTATGAGTGGTTGCCGACATACCGGGCGGTGCGTAGAATCATGCGTGGAGGGAGATAGTGAAGACCGCTCTCTAGTTCTTTTGGACGCATTTTGCCGCCGAATGAAATGCTGGCCCTTAGTAACTTCTTGAGCATCGTGGTGTTCGAACCGAGAAATGGGTAGGTACTTTCCCTGAAATGTAAGGAAATGTGCTGGAAGTTCTTCCCTGTTTACAGCTGTTTATATTTGATATGGTGGAGGGGGGTGGGTAGCTGCCGACGTCTTGCTCGGCTGTCTTGTGTGCGAATCAGATGTGATGTGTCACGTTTCTGTCAAAGAGCCTGTTGTCCTGACTGAACTAAATGTTTATTTCCTCCATCCACAGTGGAGCAGAGACCCCAGACGCGGCTGGCAGTAACACATCCCCTACAGATGTTTCCACGCCAACCACAACCGGGCCTCCGGCCACTCCCGCAACTAACACCACAAACACAACCATCACATCAACAACACACCCAAACATTTCCGCGTCTGCCACCATCACCACTTCCACAACATCAACTACGGCAGACCGACAGTCTCCTGCAACTAATGCCACCGGATCTTTGAGGAGGAGAAAGACCAGAGCCCGCAGGAAGTCAAACCTGTCCTTGGTAAGTAGATCATATAAAAAAAATAATGTCTCTGCACATAAAATATGTTGGTATTTTACGTGAGTCAGTGTTAAAGCGACAAAAGAAAACGGCGGTCTCGCTAAGTTACCCGTTTTCTCTTAATTTATTCCAGGGGCGACGAACCGATTCCGGATCAGACGGCTTGGCTCTCAACCTGTCTGGAGGCTCTGACAACAACCAAGTGTCTCCTAACCGCCGCCTATCCAAGTCACACTCCTCGGGTTCGGACACCACTTCGCACTGCAGGAGGCACATCGTCAAGAGTTCCTCCTTCTCTGGTGAGTTATTTCGGATTGACGTGGCTCTCAGAGGGGGTATGGGGTGACGCCGCCAACTTTAGTATGCTGTTGACATAGTTGGAGCGTTCTTGTCGGTGACTGTGCGGCGGCGGTGTTCAGTGTGGAAGGTGTTGGTGATAATCCCCTTGTTATCTGACCATGCCGTCATTGTGACTTCTTCAGTAAGGGGCGTGACGTAAAAAATGTTTTACGTTATTTTCGTTTTCAAGATTACACGTCCACGTTACCAAGGACATTTCTGAGAAAATTAGTTTATTCAGGCAGTTTAATATATTTTATCATAATTTTGATTCTGGAAAGGTCGCTTTACTTACGCCCATCCCCACTTTCAGGCGCGTGCCGTGGGGGCTCGGGCGGCATGACGTCGTCCACCGAGAAGTGTGTCTCAGACTGCGGGGGCGTGTTGGGCGTGCCTCGCCTGCACACACGCGCCCTCGCCGTCGACGACTGCTGCTCCAGCGACGAGTCCCGCCCATCCAGCCCACCGCCGGCTTTACTGGAGGCCATCGTGCCAAGGAGCCCCGCCCACACCGCCCGCAGCGCCACCCAGAGCGACCAGGACGCCCTCAACACCCACGAGGACATGAGCTCCCTCTCGGAGCAGGCTTGGGATCCTTACCAGGTAAGGCGCAGGGCGAAGGCTTTATTATTATTATTATTATTATTTTATCATCATCATCATCATTGTTGTTGTTCTTATTGTTATTATTAATTTATTATTTTTAATATTATCATAATTATTGTTGTTATTATTATTATTATTATTTTATTATTATTATTATTATTATTATTGTTATTATTATTGTTATTATTATTGTTATTATTATTGTTATTATTATTGTTATTATTATTGTTATTATTATTGTTATTATTATTGTTATTATTATTGTTATTATTATTGTTATTATTATTGTTATTATTATTGTTATTATTATTGTTATTATTATTGTTATTATTATTGTTATTATTATTGTTATTATTATTGTTATTATTATTATTATTATTATTATTATTATTATTATTATTATTGTTATTGTAAGGAGAACTAATAGCTCGTCCTATATTACAGCAGGAATACAAGTACTTCAGTGAGCCTTACTCGGAGGACATCGACCAGGAGGCTGCCAGGCGCTTGCTTGAGTTCGGAGACGACTACAGGAAGTACATCGATTCCGACGGGGCATCCTCCTTCTCGGGCATCCCGCACAGGGGTCGCCGTTCCCCTCACCACCGCCGGCTGAGATCATTGATCCCGCAGGGTGCTCGTGACCTGGATTCTGACTCCGACCTGGATGACCTCCATCATGTCATCGACGAGTCAAGATCCCAGCTGACCGTCACAGAGAACGTCCTCAAGAAATACTCCAACGAGGCTGCTCTGGGACTTGATTATGTAAGTATTGGTTGCATATATTTAGGTGTATCTTAGTTACCCCTGAAATAGAGGCTTCACCTGCGCCGTTTTCTTTGACAGTGATCTAGCTCACGGGAGGATGAAGCTTCCTCGTTTTCTATGCGCTATATAGCAGTGGGCTGAGTTGACCTTGACACTCTTGAGTCATCAGGGTGGAGGTGGAGATGTAAGGTTCAAGCTATGCGAGACTTTGAAAGTTATTAAAATTTTAGTCATACGTACACTTGTGTCAGGTGAATATGTTTGTCTGTTTATACTAAATAATTTCATGCAGCAGCTGTTGTAGTATCTGCAATCACCATTACGTTCGCTAGAGGTTAATAAAGCTTACCGCCTGCCCCTTTCGGCAGCGATGTCATATTCATGTATTCCTTAAGCAGCGTAAGACTTCATAGCACGGAGAAAGTTGAACTCCTTGAGCATGTGGTGAGACAGACATATGTGTCATTGTTGCCAAATGACTGCAGTTTGTGTGTTCTACGCTCTGGTTGCCAATTCATTTTTGTTTTGTTTTAAAGACCAGTCATAAATCAGCGGTTTGAACACAAGCTAGCGTAACAGATTTTCGGAATTTGAAGCCAGTTTAGCGCATTTATGTCGCGAAAACAAAGCGATGTGGCAACTGCGGCGGAGGCAGTGCCCAGCAGTCCAGCATCAGCAGCAAGGCAGATGTCTGGTCCAGCTGGAAACTGGGGCCTCTGCCAAGCGACGCCAGGCTGGACGCACGCACACCCTCATGCGCTCGGTGCGAATTTATACACGCAAGAAAATAGGTAGTGCATAACGGATTTCGTTACTTCCGGTTACGTAATAATTATTCCACAGCTTTTGTTTTTCTGTCTTGGCGTCCGGAAGCCGTTTTCCCTCTCCGCCCACCCCGCCCACCCTGCTCTGTGGCGGCAGTTGGTGTGTTGATAGCGTGCTGTTTGTGAGATGTGAGAGAGGATGCCAAACTCATATGAATCAAGATCAAAAGTACTAACGCGTTTTCAAACGTCCCTGTGTATTGCTAATGTGTAGTGAGCAAATGCTGTCATCTCGTTGAAAAGGTGAAAGTGTAGAACTGCTAAGAAACAGTATAGGTGTGTTTAATTATTATTTAGAAAAAATAGAAGTTGTGTTGAGGACAAGTACATCTGGCATATTTACATTGCTATCAGTAAGAATGGACTGATAACGTGATCCTTCATCTCCCCACCGGCAGGCCGAACTCGTGGCCACAACGCAGACCAACATCAAGTGCCTGGCCGAGATCGTGCGACACCTTCAGATGGAGGGAACCCTGGAGCCCGAGCTGCAGGAAGTGCAAAGTAAGTGCTGGATTTTCTAGTGTTTTACGTCTCTTTGTTTTACTTCTTTCTTTTCTTTTGCTTTTGTTTCTTTTTTCTCTTAGGTTCGTATTATTTCTTTATTTTTTTCCTATTTTATCAATTTGAAGTCACACTTCGTCACAACCGATAGTCTCTGGTATCGTAGATGATTATTCGTCCTTGAGGTTTGTTGGAGTTTCCCCTTGGAATGTGAAACATTATATGGCTTTGCTGCGGGTCTCCGGGTGTTTTGCTAAGATTGTTTTCCTTCAGAATCCCTTGCAGTTGTTTATATTGCGTAGGTGGATAATTATTGAATCTGGTGGCAAAAGATATGCTCGCCGAGGGTTGATGTTCTGGCGAAAGGATTGATGGAGATGTTTGGTGGTATATTACACGCGGTGAAGCATCACTTTCAAGAAGTGTCGAGCGAAAATTATCAAAACGTGAAGGAATGTGAATATTTGCTAACTGTACTTTTTGTAAGTAGCTACTGACGTTTCCTCTTAGGAGGGCAGGGATTCAAACTTCAAACTAAATAAGCCTAAAGGGACCAGGAGTAGGGGAGGGAGGGGTAGAGCGGGAGGGAAGGGCAGGGATGATGAAGTCCAGGTGTTTCTCTGTTTAAAGACATGACTCTAAATGTTTTTTGAGTACATATTGAGCAGCGGGTGATCTATGGGGTGTCAGCTGAGAGGAGAAAGGGGGGGAGTTTATCGTGAAAGACGTGTAAGGGAAACTTTTGTTTAAATCATCATCTGAAAACGTTTTTTTTATTGTTTAATTCGGTAAGAAAAGCAACGTGATTTTTTAAATTGTTAAGTGAGTTACTAGATAACAGTTCTTTAGCGACGTCGCCCAGCGTTACTTCCTGTCTTTTGGCCTGGCCTTGGGTATTCGAAATTGGTGCGCGAAGGAGGCGGAAAATGCACACGTTTAGCACATGTTGCCGGAATGAGGCGACGACAGATTGGAATGTTTACGGGGGTCGCGATGACAGCGAGATGGAGTGAAATGTATGCGCATATGCCAGGGTTTATGTGAGTCTTAGGATGTCTCACATGGGATTGTTGTAGCCAAGGTGTAAAGACTGGCCTTTGTGCTTATCCGATTTTATCTAATTTCAAGTTACCTGACTATAATCAACCTTCGCTGGGTACTCTTCTCTGAGGTCAATGTTGGTATTTTGTGTGCACTCAGATGTGCTTTGGCCATTGGTAGGCAACGTGATGTGTTTTCGAGGAAGAGCAACAGGCGGAATTCCTTCATTGTTTTGCTGACGCTGAAGCCTCTGTCGAGTGCTTCGGTGGGCTGTTGTGTCAGGGAAGCCCCGCAATGGTCACGGTCACGGCGGGACAGTCGAGCCATCCAGGGCTGAGGAGGGGCCGCCCAAAGCTCATTACGACACCGCCAGCAGCCACGGCGCTCTGTGACCTGGCCTCGCCCAGTCATTAGGAGGATTCTCACCCGGAACACACGCGAGGCGAACACGGGCGGGTGTGAGGGCATGCTGAGGCGATTGGGTGTGTTTGCGTGAGTTTGGGAGTGACACTCGACGCCTAAGGCGAGAAACACGACCGAGAACACGCTCCTTGGTGTCGGTGGGTCACAAGACAAGGAATCCGAGCATGCCTCGACCATAGGACATTTGAACTGACCTGAGACCTGTTAAGGCTCCCATACAACAGGTCTCGGAAACCCGACCCTGTGGGACTTGGAGACATGGCCTTCGTGGCGTAAGGATACTAGCGATTTGGCGGAGAGTGTGGTCGAAGTGGTGACGACGCACCGCGAGGCCGGAATGGGGATTCGAACCTGTAACGCCATTAAAGACTCCAGCCTGGTGTTAGCTGGTATGTGATAACTCGTAGGTCGAAATGAAATGTTCGCCTTTGACGCCTTTGCTGTTTGACTGCACTTCGGTGATCTGGGTGTGCAAGGGGTGTTGCAAGTGATTTTTATGGTTTTACTTTTTGACGGTTTTCATGAGGGGTAAGCCTTATTTCTGATACCACATTCATTATTAAGAAAAATGCAGAATGAGAAATGTCCATTTCACCTGGGATGCCATAACAAAGGCTTCCAATACCCTTCTCACACACTCATGAACGTGTATGATAAAAAAAATAGATTAGTATCTTTGAATTTTGAAACGTATATCCTCACATTCATGATATAACCAAAAAGAGTGAATGCTCAGTAAACACGTAGTGGCAAATCTCCTTTCTTCTTGGTGATCCAAAATGACTGATATACTTCCGCGATGTGTGCTCGCCTGCGCTGTCAGCCGCAGGAACGCCAGGCACGGAGCGCTATCTGCCTCCTGTCAGGTAGTGCCGCCCTGTGCCATAACACTGCCGTCACGGTAATGCTCCCGTGACGTTTAGGGAATGACAAGGAGGGGTGAGGATGAGAGTGAGGATGAGGATGAGGGTGAGGGTGAGGGTGAGGGTGAGGATGAAGATGAAGATAAAGGAAAAGGAAGGCGGGACAGTTAAGGAAAGGGGGAAGGGAAAGAGGAAAGTGAAGGCGAAAGGAGGGAGAGAGAGAGAGAGAGAGAGAGAGAGAGAGAGAGAGAGAGAGAGAGAGAGAGAGAGAGAGAGAGAGAGAGAGAGAGGAGAGGGGGGGGATTAGAAAAGGAGAAAAGTTAGAAGATTCAAACTGTCCCCTAAAAGGCGCTCCAATTTAGCGTATTTACAGCAGTGACGTAAATGAGAAGTAGCGTAGGTGTGTGTGTGTGTGTGTGTGTGTGTGTGTGTGTGTGTGTGTGTGTGTGTGTGTGTGTGTGTGTGTGTGTGTGTGTGTGTATGGGGTTGTGTGTGAGAGAGAGAGAGAGACCTTTCGTAGATAAACAGTAAGCATTTATTAACGTCCGACAGTATGATAAGATTAGTTATCTTATTTGTATTGTTGAATAGAGGGCACAGGTAAACTGCTGATATGGGCATTATGGCCTAATTCTTTCTTCAACATAAAATTAATGATAAGAGACGCGTAAATACAGTTACGAATGTAATTAAGAGACAATTCCCCCCCCCCTTTCCCCTGCCTGCAACAGCGGTAGTATATCCCACACTGGTAACTGCTTCCCGCGTGCTGAAGTCAGGAGCTCACCATTATTTCCGCGTGTGATCAGCGATGTCTGCCGTGGCTTCAGTTCGTTTGTCAATTCAGTCAGGCCCCCGAAGGTACCTGTTATTTGAGACGTCGCTGCCGCCCTTTGCCGACGGTCTAGGCTGCTTTTCATGCCGTAGACCACGCCCATTTTCAGGCAGTTGGGCCGCGTAAGCCGCTCTTTTGAATCATCCCCGCCCCCAAACGCCCAGCCTCGCGACGGTTGTTCGGCGGCCCACCTGTCCCGCCCACGGCCACCCACGCTCCCCGCGCCCAACCCACCCTCGCTCCACTCCCGCGCTTTGCCAAGATCATTCCCTCATTCACGGGGATTATTGTTTTGACACTTTTATTTTGCTTGTTAGCTTGTTTGTTTATGCGAGGGCACGAGGGGGAGAAGCGCAGAGTGCACGTGTGGCTACCATGCTTCACCTTCATTTTCCTCTCATTTTTGTTTATAAAAGGGGACGCAGAAATGGAGGTCCGCCCACGTGCTGAGATGGAGGTGTGGCCGCGGTGGGGCGGGAATGGGGGAAGGGAATACTGCAAGGGGTGCGGGGGAGAGGGCGCCAGGGTAAGCAGTGAGGGGATGGAGGGGCAGGGGGAGGGGGAGCTAGGAAGGAAGATCAATAATAGTGGGGGTGCTGCATGGCAGTTTGAGCATGCAAAGTCTGCTCCACCAGTCTTTTCCGGGACGCGACGTCGGCTCGGAGCACCACGTCCACGCCAGGTGCCCTCGCTTGTGCCTGTGAGTGCCCTTCGGTTGCGTCTTGCGTTGTACGCCTTCCTCCAGGGGGAAGTGCGGGGCGGCCGTCAGGCTCTGCAGCTCCTCGCAGTGTCCTCTTGTGCACTTTCTACATCGTCTGCCTCTTCCATCTTTGTTCTTCTTTGCATGATTCTTAGAAGTATTCTTCTCTCCCTCCTACCTTTGTCTCATGATGTTATTTGAGACGCCGCTATTGCGCGGAGGATCAGATGTATATATGAAACTTGTGACTGCAGTCAATCGGCAGTCTTTCTCATTCATCATTCTCTTCCCCACTCCTCATATTTCCCCACTCCTCATATTTCCCCCCTCTTCCACCCTTTCCACCCATTTCACTTTCCTCTCCCTTCTCCCTCCCTCCCTCCCTCTGTCCTGCCAGGATCTGGGAACAAACAGGTCATTCACGGAGGAGCGTGGTGTCTCCCCTCCCTTTTCCCCTCCCGGCCAGGCGCGGCTCCTCCCCCTCTTTACCCTCTCAACCCTCAGACATCCTACACCACCCTCATTCTCTAAGGAGCAGCAGGGCCTACCAGACGCCCCACAAAGATCCTTCCCTGAGCGAGGAGGTCGGTGTGGCCAGAGATTATGCTGATACAGTCACGTGTGTTTGTTCAGCGATGCACAGCCTGGCAGTGCAGATAGAAAACGTGGACCATCACGGGGGTCACTGCCGTCGCAGCGGCTTAGAAGGTTGTGCTTTTGTGTGTGAATAAACGTTTCTCTTGAAGCCATTGACTGAAGGTGGTCGTGAATTCGCGTGGTTTTGTGTGCGTTGTTGTGATGGAGAGGCGGAATGGAGAGTGGCGGAGGTGGAACAGGAATGGACGGCATGTTGTTGTCAATACGGCGACGGGAGGATGGAATGCCAGAGGTCCCTGACACTCGGCAACAACCGAGCAGACGCGGACGTTGTGCTGCAACATTGCAGTAATTTTTTGTTAAGCCTTTGAAAGTTGTTCTTGTACGTCTGTCTGTGATTCGACATGAATATAGATTTCACTTATTGTGTTGCTCCCACGGTGGAACGGTGAGGCAGTTATTGATATGTGATATGTATGGTAGCAACATGGGAGTGTAGAGTGGCTTAGAGTTTCAAGTTTGTAGTGAAACCAGTGGAACAGGTCCACGCACGGTGGACGCCCATGGTGTACGACATACTAACGAGTGACTTGTCGGCTTTTTAAAGATTAATGTGAAAACTTTTTGACTCGACTTCGCTAGTGTGTTTGATCTGCAATGCTACTTTACTGATCTGGTTTGGAATCGTTTTAAGAGACTGCGAGGAATATAGCTTTTAGGGAAACAGGGTAAAATGAAATGAAACTCCAATTACTGACGTTATGCATAAATTTTCTATTGCGGTAAGGGGTGGAGGAGCGAGAGATGTAACAGCCGGGGAGGTACACCTGTGCGTCAATCTCAAGGTTGTAAATCGATGGCTCAATATCTGATGACCTCCTAATGCCTTCGTCTCCGCCCCGAAACATCGCTTGCATCAGCGACCTTCGGCGGAGAGGCAGAAGCAGCAGCATCACTCCTCGGGATAGCCATGCGCTCACCTCTCCCTGCAGAGCTCAGAATATGTCGTGACGTCACAGCCTCTCCCTCTTCTACAAGCCCAGGATCCTGCCCAAGCCTTCGCCACCTGGAATTGCTTGATTTTGCATTCAGCTTCTAAATGCGTGTGTGACGGAATCGTGCTATATTTAACTTGAGCTCTTACCGGGGAGGGGGGCGGGGGCCTTCGGGGGTCGGAGGAGATGCCATGTCGGCGATTTAAGACCCGTTTTACCGCGCGAGTTGTTTACACTTGCAGAGAAACGCCACAGTCTAAGGGTGGGGGAGACATTTGAAGGAGGGAGTGTTTTGTAACAATACATATCCCTTTGGGGGAACTTGTTTGTACTCGAGTCCATTACGAGGGCGAGAGGGGACTCGGGCGCCTATTGTGTGACGGGAGGGGCTCTTCGTCACGTGCTATGTCTTGCACACCGTCTTCCATCCTTTTCTGTTCTTTTGCAGTTCATCCTTTTGAATTCCATCTTATTCTCCTCCTCCTTTCATTATTCGTTCCTTGCTTCTTCTCTGTCTTTCGTTGTGTTCGTTTCCTTAATGCGTTACTTGTATTTCCTTCATTCCCTTTACTCTTTTTGTCTTCCGTGTGTTCTCTCTTCCTACCCCCCCCCCCCTACTCCATATGATTATCCTCCTTACTTTTTTATAGCCTCCCTCTGAAGGCGGACGAATGTGCACCCTGTTAACTTATTCCACTCTCTCGAGATCTGATTAGGAAAAAGTACTTTTCTCCCCCTCCCTTCTCCCCCGCTTACCCCTTTCCCTTGCCCTACTAAGTCCATTACGCAACCCCGACCAGGTTATCAACACAGTCCCACGAAACCCGAGCCGCCGTGTCGCGAGCGTAGCCCGATAACGCGAGCGCAAGGTGCCACACTGGCTCCTCTTAACCCTAAGCCAGGTCGAGCCGCAGCAGACCCTCTCGAGAAGGGGCATTAGGGTTGGGGCAGGTTCGTTTCTAGGAGGGGGTGGAGGGTAGGGGCTTCCTCCGGTGGGTGGCGGCGGCGGTGATGGCAGCGGGCACTGAGCGGTGCCGGGAATAAACAAGACCATCTTGGTTGTGCCATACCGGGGTGCCAGCCGTAAGAAACGCTTAGGCCCTGATAATGAAAGTTAGAGTCACGGAGTGTTCTTCCGAGAGGACATTTGTAAGGAGGCTTTCTTGTTAGGTGTGTGTGAGTGCATGCGTGTGTGCGCACTTGCTGTCGAGAGCAATCATTTTGGATTTACTGCTCTCGTGCAAGATTCGTTAATATGTGCTGCTGACCTATTCACATTTCTTGCTGTAAGTGAGCTAGAGTGCAAAGGTCAAGAACGGCGTGAGTGGTTGCAAGTCTCATACAAGAACCCAGCAGGTCCTTGTATACTGCGACGATCGGGCTTGGCAGCAACAAGGGAGAGAAGGTTCGCAGAGGACGGCGAGGGGAGCAGGCGAGGGGAGGAAAGAGGTACGCCTGCCGCCAGGATGCGGGATGCGTGCCCTCTTCCGCAAGCCTCGAACAATTAATTCTGCGGAGGGAGGATCGCGTCGCCCCTCCTTGTGGTGAGGGAAGGAGGGCGGTGGCGAGCAGAGGATGCGGGATGCGGGTACATTTTTCCACTCTCACTCTCGCACGAAGTATAACTTAATCCGCGCAGAGATGTTCGCGGGAATCCTCGTAAGGTAACCAGCGCCACGTGCTGGAGTGGGTGGTGGGGGTCTTTCTCGGCGCCCGTCCCCTCACCTCCATCAATCTTTTTGCTCGCGGGTAGACGTGAGGAGACAGTTACACCACGGATTATATCACACTCACACTGGGGGAAGAGGGAGAAGGTTTATTTATACGCTAGACATTTTCATGTTTGTTGGTCTGTATGTCTGCAAGCGAGTCTGCTAGAATGGTACTAGGCTTTATTATGTCTGAGAATAAGAATAATTGGCGATCCCGCATGAGAACCGTTCCTCCCCGGCGTCATGTTCGTGGGGCACAGAAGGGGTCCGCGCCACGCATGAACTATGCGTCATGTTAATAGACATTCTTTAATGTGATGCTTCGTTAAACATATCTTACAGAAGCCTCGAAACAGGGGCGTCGACGTGGTATTCAAACTACAGGCCGCATGATGTCATTCAGATTTTCCTCTGAAGAGGCAAAGGGCGAGGGCTGTCGTCGGTCGCGCGAGGGAGGGGAAGCGCTAAGGCAGAGGGGAAGGAGTATCTGGTGTGATGGCAAGTAGTGCCACAAGGATGTCGTGAGTCACAAGGCAGGGAGTGAGACACCCAGACTCTCAGCGCTGACCTTGCAGCGGGCCTCTGAATGCGCGAGTTGTGACATGCATTGCTGCTCGGTTGCAGTGCCAGGGCGTGCCGGGGTCGATCTCGAACGCTGTCCTGCGTATCCGTGGCGATGTGCTTCCGGCTCCGGCATGCTTCCTGACTCACTTCCCTTACCGCCCACCCGTTTTCATCCTCGTACATGAAGCCGTTGTTGAGAGAAAAAATAACTCAGTGACCGGTAAACAAAGAAAACGGGAACCGTGGGGCATTATAAGGCACATTGAGACGAAGGTCCAGAGATATTACTATTTTATTACTACTTAGATGTTTTTGAGTGTTGGAGACTTACGAGTAAATAGAAATTTATACCATGTAAACATGTCCGAGAATACATTGGTCGAGGGACTGAAGGGTATAAACTGGCACCCCGCATAAGAGCTGCGGTGACGTCATGGTGGGAGGGGGCGGGGAGCTGATTCAGACCGCATGTGCCAAGTGCGTGATTACTTTCTACTTAATGCGTATAATTGCTTCATAACACGTCGCAGTCGTTGACTTTCATCGTGCGAAGCGATGTGTTTGCGGAGGCTCGTTCCACGCCCGATGCGTAGAAGCGTGTGTGTGGAGGTGACAGGGAATGTTTGAGGGACGCAGTGTTGCCGGCAGCTGGGCACGGCGCCACCCCGCGAGGGTTTGAATCTACACTTGCAGTCTGAGCAGGCTGGTGGACGTACCCTCGCCGCCCGCTCCGTGCGCGCCAAAACCAGTGCAGCTCGTGGTAGTGTTAGTGGTA